AAATTTGATTGATTGATTGAAATGTTTGCTCAGCAACTTTTCAATTTTATGGGATTACATGGAAGCTATAAACCTTTTTGATAATCAAAGTGAGACATTTCACAGTTTCATCAGCGGTATTTCTTTGGCTAGTGTCGTCTCACTTTAACGTTAAAAAACCAAAAAAAACAGTTTTAAGTAGCAAAGCCTCACTGCTGCGTGACAGAATGGGGTTCGTCTCCTAATGCAAAATAATCTTCTCTGCCCTGACACCGCGACCCATTTTTCTACATTTTAGGCCACTTACGAGACACCCTTAGGAAAATTCTGCTAAGCAGAACGGTGGAAAACAAGCAAAAACAAGGGCACTGTGCAAGTTACATAAGATACATTATCTGAGTGACCTTGAAAAGTGGCGTCAAGCAAGCTTCGAAACAAGAGCAGGAAGCACAGATGACAGACAGCAAGGAATAAACTCTTGATTTCTGCTTCAAGGTCTAAAGTGTGAGAGGCAAAGCAACAGGAATCATAAAGCGACACAGAGTTCAGCTGCAAGACAAAGTTCAGTGCGTTCACTCAGTGCTGCCGCCCCGAAAGCATCTCATGATTAAGCATGTCCAATTGATTTGTTACATACAACTGCTTCACACAACTGCGAATGTCTGTCAGCGGCATTAAAGCTTACAGGGTGTGTTACTCCAAACGGCTGATGAATGGAGCGCGAGAAGGATTTGAAGTGTCTGACTATTTTATTTGGTCTCTTAGGGAAAATCTTTTCACACATGATTCAGCAAGAGAGAGAGGTCGGACTCAGCTGCACAGAAATCAGAACAAACAGCCTGATAATCCTGCAAGAAATGAGTTGGAAATCTACTGGAGGTTGCTGCGGCGTGTAACGGCTCCCGCACCTGACGGGTAGCGTGCGGTCTCCTTTGCGGCGGTCCATCTCCCTCTGGGGCACGGGGTACCAGCGGAAGTTGAGCTTCCAGTTGAAGCCTCCGTACGTCATGTCGGACCCCGCCATGTACTCGAACGTGTCGTCGCTGATGACGTCGATGATGGGGCACACCACCGTTTTCCTGGAGGAGCGATCGGACAAACAGAAACAGGTCGACGTTCAAACACACGACACACGCAGAGAAATGGAGCACAGTCGGCAAATGGATGCAAAAATCGGATAATGGGGTTTCTAAATTTCTAAAAAAAAAAAAATAAATAAATAAAAGTAAACCTTAGATGTCTGTAGATGTTTGTGAGCTCATGGGAAGCAGTAAACAAGGTTTTAAAACTGCAGACAACGATGAACTAAACACAAGGACAAGCCCCCTGCAGGCTCAGCAGCAGCAGCTTACAGATTCTTTATAACACTTGGCACTAGTGTCCATGCGTCTGTTGTAATTTGGCCTTACTTGTCCTGTTTGATGCGGGCCAGCAGAGGCTCTAGCCACCCTGTGGTGCATTCACAATGAGCGTCCAGGAAGGTGATGACCTGGCAACCCAGCAGGAAAACATTAGACGGTCATCAGATGCAGGTCACGGGATAATTAAAATCACATACACCATCTTGGAAAAAACAGACATTGCTCTTAAACGTTTCCATGTTCTGTCTTGCTAAAGCCACAAAATGATCCATTTTAACTGCATGTTATGTGCAACCATGTTGGGGTTGATAGGTGAACCAAATTGGGAAGTAAAAGGAAAATGATAAGAGGCTTTTAAAATTTTGTACCTGTAAGAAAAATCTCAAAAGTCATGTTGCTTTTGTATTCAGCCCCTCTGAGTACCACCATTGCAGAACCACCGTTTGTACTTTGACTGGACCATTCCATAGATCATTTCACTGTACATCAGGCTCCATGTTTATGTTCATTGTCAACTAAAAGAGGAACACCTGCTCCAGCCTCTACTAGCTGTTCTTATGGGGTTTCTTCATCAATAATTTTTGTTTCGTGTCACTCAAAAAAAAAAAAAAAGAAAAAACAGATCAGATTTGTGGAGTAAACAGTCTGTCCCACCTGAGCTGTGGATCTCTGCACATCCTCCAGAGTTAACCTAGTCCTCTGTGACATTTTACAGATGAACGTATCGTTTACTAGGCCTGTCAATTTATTTTTGCTTCCTAACAGACCTTTGATGTTGTAGCAGAACAGTTTTTGAAAATGCATGATTTTCACATTTTATTTGTCAAAAATGTAAAAAAAATGTTGTATGCTTTTTCCTTCCTAATTAAGACACTACAACGTGTTGGTCAATCAAATAACAGCCCCAATAAATCACATGGAAGTTTGTAGTTACAGCATGACACAACATGGAGCAACGGCTGACCAGACGTGCACACACACACACGCACACACACCTGGCCGGTAGAGATGGAAGCCCCTTTGAGGCGAGCGCGGATGAGTCCGGACCGCTGCTCCATCCTCACCACTCTGACAGGCACTTCTAACTTTCTGACGTACTGCTCCAGCGGCCGTTTCAGAAAATCTAACACAAACACACAGAATACAGAAAATATGCAAACATGAAACAAACTCCTAAGCATTTGGATTACAAGCTGAGCTCTTTGTAGCACCAGAGATCAAAGGAAACTATGTGATTATGTTATGTGCTGCCAGTGTGTGTGTGTGTGTGTGTGTGTGTGTGTGTGTCTTGGCATGGATGTCTGCAACCCTTCTACCTGCACAAACACTCCCCCCCTCGTTCCACAGCATTCAACTCGAGGTCTCATAAGGTGCATCGTTGCTATGGTTGCAGCTGGGGTGGTGGGGAGGGGGGAACGGTGGGTTATAACGGTGTAATCCCTGCGGCTGGCAAATTAAAGACCTAATCTCCCCCAAACAGGGATTACCAGCATGGCCCAGTGAGGGTTGGCACACATAGCCCTACGCAGACATGTAAATGTTGACTAGTTCCGCAAACACACACTACAGAAAGCATGTACAGTAATGCTAAATAAAAACAGGCTAAGCCTGAAACAGGAGACACTCATCTGCAGTGTGTGTATGAGTTTACCTCTCTCACTGGCATCGTCCACCAGGACAATCTCCTCCAGCAGTGTGTGTGGAGAGCGATCAATAACCGAGTGGACGGTTCGCAGCAGTGTACTCCAAGCCTCATTGTGAAATACGATCACCACGCTGGTGCGAGGAAGATTATCGGGGTATAGCTTGTTCTTGCACCTTTGAAGGGTGAATTAAACAAACAGAAGAGAATTTGTAAATCAACTGAACTGTTTTTTTTTTTTTTTTTTTTACTGCGGCAATAATTATCAGGTACTTCAGAGATTTGGACAGAAAAACTGGTCAGGAGAACTTCAACAATCCAGACTCTGTTTACGTCCACGAGAGCAGAAATGAAAGATGGTCTGCACCGCGGCTCAGCTAACTCGTATGAAGACGTCATTAAACCAATCGGAGCGTCTTTGGGTCCTGACCCTGTTAAAAGTTTATTCCCATCAAAGAAAACTAGAGATGAATAATGAGGTGGAAGCTAAACAGATATTCCCAACACCGGAGAGTGATGCAGGACAGATTGCAAGTCTGCAGGATGGCAGCTGATTAATGTTCCTAATTAGATCTCGAGTCATTATCATCGCAGAGAGGAGCTCACAGTTCTCCTTCTATGAGAGGGAAAATAATGAAATACCTACGAGAGAACAAGAAACGGATCAAACTGAGGGGGGAAAAAAAAATAAAATAAAAAAATCTGGGAAAGTTTCAGTCAGAAGGTTACATCCACCTATCAGGAGGACAAATATTCTTAATAGCAGACAATGAATGATGCTTCTAAAGCGTGGAACGGCTACACTGCAAAGATGATTAATACATTTTTAATAGCTGTGGCTATGATGTAGCTTAGCACCATCAGTGTGCTACACTGATGTTTAGAGTCGTCTTTGATTCATGTCAACTGGAATATAGATCAATATATTTGATGGGCATTTGCTTGATGATATGATGATGGTTTTGAGAGAATGTTTATTAATGCTTCATAGTTGGTTACTGTATCAGGTTTCTTGTTGCTGAAATGTGCTACACAAATAAACTTAACCTGATTCATGCATCCTAGATGGATTTTAAATAAAGTTAGCCCGACTCATCCATTCCAAAACCAGTTTTGATTTGTGTTTGCAGATAATTGCTGAATGGAAAAACCAAACTGAGACCAAGCATTGACCGCCTGAGCCTTGGGTCTGCAACCTGTGGCCCTTCATAACTAAAGTTCCAACTCAAAACAAATGCAAGTTTTAGCAGTTTGGTTAAAGCTTCACAGCTTTTTCCATATAAATTAACATCTCTTAGAAGATAACATATCTATCCTCTTTTTGCAAAAGTTTTGTTTTTCTTCATTTTAAAACTTTCAAGCATAAATAAAAGGGTGGATCTTTAATATAACACAATATATTAAATGTGTTATATTAAAGCACCCTCGACCGCATTTGAAGCGGTCGAGGGTGCTTAAATATTTCTGGGAATATTTAAAGAGTTTTAAGGTTAATTCTAAATTTTGAGGCAGCAACATTAGACTGCTAGATATTAATATCCGAACATTGCTTGGAGGTTTTGCCTCATCAGCTATTCTGACCCTGCTGGCAAACATGCGCTTTAATTAAGTCAACAATACTCTGCAAAAAGTCAGGAGTGTAGTCATGGGATCCATTCAAAGACAGAAAGAGAAGAATGAAATTAGAATATATTTTAAAAAGACAAAAAGAGTCCAGGACTGTGAACAGCCCTTGTTGCTTCAGACCAAATACGTTGCATGTTGTTTGCAGAGAACATGGGATTGACAGATTTTGAACAGGATTTCTAGTAAGTTGAACTTGGGGTTTATACATTTTGCTTTTCTTCTAAAAGTTAAAAACTAAATATAATAAAAATGTGTTTTCTTTAAAAGAAGTTGAACTGGATTCTAGTTGCACTTGAAAATCCTTAAAAGTGGTTCTAATACACAAAGTTTATTAAAATTCAGTTCTACTACAGAGGACAAGCAAAGGCACCTGAGAAACACAGTTTGGGTCTCGGTTGTCTGAGCAGCGGGACCGCAGTGATGGAGGCACAAAACCCAGGTGAAACTATTGTTTTTCCTCGATATGCTGATAAGCAGCCCTCCCCCACATCCTGTTCATCAAACGTCGAGATGTAGAGGTGCATTGTTTTCAAATGATCTCCATTTACCAGCAACTTTACCAAACCACGGTACATTGACAATGCGTCAGTGATAACCATTGTCTATGGTAGCCAATAAGGGTACAAAAAAAAAACGGAAGTCACGCAAAAACAAAAGTTATGCTAGCAAGTTTAACATACCTTCTGTTTCAGCACAACTTCTGTTGTGGCTTTTTCATTTTATTGACCTTTCTAGGACACCGTACAATCAAATAGGTTACACAAACTGCGACATGATGGCAGACAGCTGGGCGCTGCAGAGGACGGAGGGAGAGCTGAAAGTGCGGGTGTAGAATATGGGAAAATCAAGTGATGGAAATATCATTAATGTTATGATAATGATATCCGTTGCAATAAATCCACATTTTCCTCTCGCCTCCTCTCCTTATCTGGCATTTTAATGCCACCATCTGCCTCTATGACCTTTGGCATCGATGTCATCTCCTTAGACTTGACACTTGGAATATAACACCCAACATATATTGCATTTCAGACAGTCGTTTTGAGATATGAAGACCGATATTGTTCTAACAATAAACTTGAGACACACTGTGCATCCATATAGCCGAAAGGGGTCATCGGTGTGTTTCCACCCTCTGTCCGTGAACGGAGGAATGATGCCTGCTCTCTGATATGCAACCGTCTATGAGTTACTTTGTCATATCTCTATACGCAGCTCATTCATCAGCAGACGGCAGAAGTGATACCACCCCAGTGGCTTCCATCCACTGACAAATTCAGCTCTTTCAACAGCCAAATGGAATATGATCTCCCTTCCTCCATCTTCATAACTCCCCCTCCTCCTTGCGATCATCCCGGCCGCTGAAGTGCTTCCTCTGCCTGTGCTGCTGATTATGACAGAAGGAATGTAACGGCGACAGAGAGGAGGTCAAGAGTATACTTATTCTGCAGCTGCCTCAGGAGAATGTTAAATAAGGCAAAAATTCTCAGCCGTTGCCCCGCGCATGAGTGTGTGCGCGCGCCCTAATATTCTCCACAGGAGAGAGGCTGATGAGTGTAGTAGATGATTCATAGCAGAACAGGGGAGTGTTGGGGCCTTTCAGCCTTCCTCCAGCCGATAAAGATGTTTTTTGTTTGCATGTTTCTTTCACACGTGAGGCCCACTCATTCATTACAGTTCTACTTGTGAATCGGCAAAAAAAGGTGACATAACATGCCGAGGATTTAGAACAACAAATCCTTGCTGGGCGTGACGCACAACCAAACAGGCAGGGTGACAGAAAATTGGCTGCAGAGACGCAGGGTAATGAGTTGAGGGTTGTTCCTCCAACCAGAGGATTGTGGGAATATTTGGGATGGGTGTGCAAACTGGTTTTAATTAGGCAGGATTGCTCTTGCACCGTTACACACAGAAAAAAAAAAAAAAAAACCCAATACATCCACGGCTGCGTACTCAACGACACTGAAATCAGTGTGAAAAAAAGGGAAAGTTCTCCAAAAGGTGTGGTCATGGTCAGTGTTTTTCCTAAACTGGAGATCCACCCAGACACACTCCATCGAGATGGACTGGGCTCTGTAAAATGCTCATTTTAACGTTTGAGTGGCATCAATGTGAAGCTTCTTCACTGCTATGGTTTAATTTCCACTTATTTTCAGTAAACAAGCCGATCCACAAGGGCACACATGTACACCCACACACATACATAAATAATATGCACAAATATGTGCATGCTTATACACAGCTAGGTGCACATTCCTTCTCTTGATATTGACTCCGTCTTATCTCCTAATTGGAAGAGTAGATAGGCGAAAGGAAAGCAGAGTGGAAACACACCTGGTAATCAACTCTCACTCAAAGACTGAAACCCATTTCATGGATCAATGTCCTCTGTCTTTCCTGTCTGCTCTGGTATGCACATGCCTCTGCCTGACAGTCATATCTCTCTCTCTCTCTCTCTCTCTCTCTCTCTCTCTCTCCCTCTCTCTATCGCTCTGCAAAGCCCAATTACTGACCTATGTATGTTCCTCTGCACAATCAAAAAGAGATCGAAGGGAAAAGGAGAGGCGAGTTGTAGCCGACTTCCAGAACCAAGCGTGACGTTTCTTTCATGACTCTGTCTGGACACATGCTGCTCTGTTCCGAAAGGCAGAATGACCTACAGCAAACAGGAACTAATGCAAACTTTGCTTATGTAGCTACATTTATGGGCTTGAGTATTATATTAGTTTCCGTGGAAATTAATTATTATTATTATTATGTCATTCATCTGGTAATGAGGCATTTCCCTTTAAAGCCATGCAGACAAAACCTTCCTGTTCACTGGGCAACCTGTGGAGGACAAAGTGTTACTTCACTTCTGTGGGATGTTTTGTAGCAACAACACACAAGCCCGGACTTCCCTCTCCTGGTATCTCATCTGGTTTTACTATCTTCATTTTTGTGCACGCTCCAATTTGTACCTGATTTTTTGTGCTTCAGGCGTTTTAAAACCGACACGGTGCCATTAACAGCATAAAGCCAAGAGGTAGCAGAATGACAATATTGGACCAAAAAGTGTGGACTGAATCAAAAAACATAACGAATAAAAAGGAATTGAGTGGAAAATACTAAATTACGTGGAATCCATGTGCGACTTAATTTGTCGGGGTTATCTGTGACTGTCCGTGTGCTTCTTTCTTTTTCTTTTTTTTTTTTTACAGTGATCTTCACAGGGAACGTGGCATCATATCAGCTGCTGCAGCTTCCTGTTTGTCTGATGTGACTGAGAGGCTCAGCTCTCAGTCAAACTGCTTCGCATCAGCAGACGTTCTGCAGACTCCAGCAGCGTCTGCCGAGTCAGACAGTCGCTAAGAAATAAATGATAAATGTCTTAGATGCCGTTGTTAGAACATTATAAAATATTAAGCTCATGTCTTGCTCAGTTGGTACTTAACTGAGGGAAGGACGGTGTCATTACTTTGAGATGAAACACACACTGTTCATGCTACTGTTAAAATTTACTAAACATGTCTATTCATAACTGGCATTATCTTTGTGAAGCTGTACAAAAATAGGAGTTAAATTAATCCCTTTAATTTTGGGTTGCTTAGCGCTGAAATGTTTCACGTTAACTGATTAAATAAGTAATAGGAGAAAGAATGTGTTTATTCTGTAAAACACAAGTTTTAAACAAATGGAAAATAGAAATTAGGAACAAAAAAATCTATTTGTAAAGACAGAAATGACATGCGGCCATTGCTGTTCTCTGCTCTAGGGACAGACTGGTACTTGAGACACCTGCATGGTGTGAAAACCACATTGAATATCAATATTATCAATAAAAATGGCACTAAAGACCACACCAACTGTGATTAAGCAACTTTTTCCTCACTGTTCTTTTTCCCATGGTCATGTTGAGCCCAAATATTTTTGCCTAAATGTGATCACTGTCAACGATGTGTTCAACAAAATCTCCAAGTTAACGTACAGAACAGAACAGATATTTGCCTGAAAAGCTCTTTGGAAAAGTTGCTAGTGAAAGAAGAAGAAGCTATTTTCAGTATATGTGATGTGGAAGAACCGAGATGTACGAACTTAAAATAAAAAAACAAAACAAAAAAACAACTTTAAACAGCTGATAACAGGAAGAGAAGAGACACGTTTCTGAGTATTCATCCTCTCAGATTTGGGAATGACCTTCAACTTCAGCCAATCCCGAGGTGAAGTTGGTGAAACATTTAAACTCTAATCTGCTTGGTTCTACTTTAAAATGATACATTTTACAGTAACCGCTCCGTAACACACAGAGCTTGACATTGTCTTTGTTTTTAATATGCTTAATTACTGACAGCTGACATCAGACAGGCTGGAGAAATGCAGCTTGAATCAAAATGTAAGAATTTAAGAGCAGCTTATGAGCAACATATGAGCTGCTTGAGTCCTAATATGTTCGAAAGGACGGAGCAGTGAAAGCACACAATTACCAAGTTTCATTAAACCTGACAATTCGTGGACATGTCTTTATTACCATGGTGATATTTATTAACCTGCTTCCCTTCACATTTCATAATCCACTCAGTGGTTTGTGTGTGTTCCTTTTTTGTTTTCGCAACGTAACCTTAGTCACCGTCTGATAACTTCCAGTGAAACGCCACTGCATGTGACCCGCCAGCTCACCCCTCCAGACGAACATCAGGCAGTGAGCGGTTGAGCGCGATCATCTCAGAGGCCATGAGGTTGAACTGGTTGATCTTGAACATTTCCTTCATTTTCTCCTGGTTCTCTTTAGGGATCACCACCGGCTTCCCGCCTTCGCCAGGCCCGTCCCGCGGTCTGGACAGGCCATCTACGATTCACACGCAAACAGATTTGTTATTTTTTTCAGAAATACCGTTGTATAACGCATAGCGCCAAAGAGCAAATGTGGGTTTAAGCACCTACCATCTCTCCCGGGCAGTCCTCTCTCCTTTTTGTCATCGCACTTGTTGCACTCGCTGAAGTAGAGCAGAATGAACATGTCCAGCATCACCCAGACCAGAGAGGTGGCTAAAACCACCTTGCAGTAGGCAAACCTTCGCATCCTAAAAATGAAAGGACAAAGAATTGAAAAACATGATGGGGGAAAAAAAAATATTTTACTTAAACCACATTTTCTGTTTATGCCTGCTCTTTAAATGTAACTTGCAAACAACATTTATATCTGTCACAATTACTGAGTTGATTCAAACATCCCTTACAGGGTTGTTGTTTATCGTGAAAGCGATGGTGGAGCAGAAATGGAAGCAGGAATGTATCCATCTGCATAAATCTCACTTTCTCTGCAGAGTGAGTTGTTGAGAATCCAAAGTATGGAGGTGGACTTATGGTGCACGCCTTCATAAAGCCAACAATGAAAAGTCAGCAACAGCCAAATAAAAAAATCCCAACAACCAATTCTATAAAAGACGGACATAAAAAACGTGGCAAATCGAATAGACGCTGCAGAGCTGGGCTGACTCCTTTACAGCTGTGGGAACGTTGACATATCAGCTGGCACATCAGGTTTAAACCGTCATTACTCATTTTCTAACACTCTGCACTCATCGCATCGCTGATTATTACAGTACTATAATGTTTACCGCGGAGTCGTGTTTCTCTCTGAGCCTGCAGTCGGGGCACAGAGGGGAGGATTGGTGTTTCTTATATTATAGTGAGGTTGCTGGGAATATTACAGAGAGCTTTGATTACTGGAAGGTAAATATAAATCCAAAAGTGTACGTACATGATTGTGTACTGATGAGGAGTGATTTTTTTAAAACTTATAGAGTTTATTTACATAAAAAAAAAAAAAAAAAAACTTGACTTAGAAAGTTTACTTAAATACAAGTTTGAACTGTTGATCAGCATCCTTTTAGATTTTAATGCGAGTAAAATAATAACCTCTGTCTACTTCCTGGAGGGAAAATGTATTTTGGCTCAAAGTTCAGAGCTATTAATTCCTGATTTATTCTGAAAACCTCAATGGCTCAAAAAAAAAAAAAAAAAAGAGCTCTGCTGCAAAACGCCACGAATGGCGACACTGATTGGTGGCATCAGCCTGATATGATAGGAGTCCATATAACACAAAATGGAATGGGTCTCCATAAACCTGCCAAGAGAGATCTATGAGATGCACACACATAATAATTTCCCCTTTAGTTTAGTATGTGGTAGGCTGGATTATTTCAGAAAGAAAAATACATTTAATCTGAGATGATGCTTTTCATGTTTTGCCTAAAGAGGCTAGAATGATTTTGTTTCCATATTGTAGGGGTGAAGCAATCCATTAACAATACATTCCTGACAGTACACTCTATTAAAAACTTGGGTTTTGACGCAACTTCTCAGCCATTTTGCTGCTAAAGAAAGAACATTTCAGCCACCGAGTGTCATGTTCTAGACTTTATAACTAATCAATACAGTTTCTTTACAGACTTGTTTTTGGTGCATGCAAAGAAATGAGGATATCATATTTTTATGTGACTTAAAGTCCAGAAAATATGGCTTTTCTGATCATAAAAAAATGCCACAGTGAATGCTGGGTGCCTCGTGTGTTCAATCTGCACACTGCAAGTTGTGACCTCATTTATTAAAATGGCCACTGAAGAATTTACAAATGTTGTCAATCACTGCTTAAAAGTACAGCTAAACGTAATATTAATGCCAAATTTACCATAAGCGACCCACTAGAGCGAATCAGACAGTTATACAGATGAGAATCTAATACTAGTGGATCAGCAGAGCCTTTGGAGATTTTGTGATGATTTCTAAATGTGAAAATATATTATATTGCTCAATTCTCACTTGTGGTGGCCCTGTGTCTCTTTCACATGTTATTTTGAAATTTCATCACATTTAAAAAAAAATATATATATATATTTGCACATTTGTCTGATCCTCAGCCCAGTTTTATTTTTTTTTTTTGCAAAATAGAAACATGACACTATTAATAGTGGTACAAAATCATGATACGAAAAGATTGCATCATTACACCCTAACTAAACTTTACAATATAATTTGCCTTTTACATTTTTAAACCAAAGTTTTACCTTAGTTTTACCGCAATATTTCTATCTGTCTTTTTCTATCAGCCATGTTTATGGGTCTTGCTTCAAATGCTACATCCTTGCAGAGCCTCACACTGAGCGCTGTACAAAACAAACCATTCTGTCCATCAGTCCAGAGCAGAAAAATGAGTCCTTTTTCTGTTTTAAAGGTTAACATCCCCGTAGGCAAAGTGAACACTGACGGCCGCATTACAGAGTGACGCTTTTAAGGTTTCTTAGAAACTTTAGTGTTCAGAAAAGTTGCGAAGCAAAAACTAAAGTGTTTCTATGAACCCAACAGTGTGTACGTCTCCCCTTTATACGGCCGACATACAAAAATCGCTGTGCGCTCAGTGCCGTCACACACAGACTCACAGGTAAGCAAACACAGCGCAGGGAGAGTGGCTGTGATAGTAATTGCTTTCTTTTGGTGGGCAGTGAAAAGACAAGACAGCCACATTAAAATTCCACTGCTCCTCTTTCCCTCTCTCCACCAGCACCATCTTCGCCTCTTTCTGACTGATTCTCTGCCTCAATGATCCCTCAGGTTGCTGCCGCACAAGCAGAGGGAAGAAAATTAACTTGGCCACAGTTATTTCTCTCATGCCCCTGGGAGGGGGGAGGAAAAAAAAAAAAGTGCTTGTGCATAGCTAGCTTAGCTTAGCTTAGTTAAGCTTTGCTTAGGCAGCTTGGGAGGGAGGAAAACTGCAGAGCAGCATTTCTAAATTCCGGCTGATGGGGTTCTGGTGACACGAAAAGGTGTGCGCAGCAGAAAACTACAGCAAAGACTTAGCTCCTTTGTCCAAGTTTGTTCCTCCTCACAAGCTTGTGGCAGCGAGCGAAACAGTTTCAGTGAAATAACAATGCAGTACTTTGTCCAATTGCGATGTCGGCCTCAGGGATTTTTCTGTTTTTAATTAGATCTCGTCCTTCTACAAGTGGAACACAGCTCAAGCATTATCAAGAGAGTAACAATCAATTTATGTCACGTATTGATTAAATGATTAAAACTCCACTGAAGATAAATATCGATCCATATCGATAATCATTGTAAATGGCGGTTTAACATAATCATTTAGTCTTTAATTTCACTACAACTGATAGGTATTTATATTTTACTGCAGCTGGGACAGAAGCTTTCATTAGAAATAAACACTTCGCAAAAGACAGGTGTTATTCTGAGGACAGTATGTACAGACGGTGCGGTATTGGCTCAAAACGATGACAAATTGCCTGGCCAAGGGAATGCTCTCTGATCTCCACACTGCTCCTGACCTTGCAGCTTTTCTAAATGTAATGTTTTCGTGTAAGCCACAGAAAAGCACTAAAAAGTTTTTCAATCTGGCAGCATCTCTCAGACAATCCCTAAAACACAGAAAACTAGCAGTCTGGCTGCATCCAGAGATGTGTTCAGAGATGTTTTGGGGACACGGTTCAGAAATCTTCTTGTAGAGCAGCTGCTTGAAAACTTCTTCATTCCTTATAAAAAATAGAGGAGTGTCAAATTGCTTCGCTCGCTGTTATCCTTTAAAAAAAAACAAAAAAAAACTTCAAATTCCAGAAGAATGGAAAGGCTGAAGTTCAGTTCTCACCCTCCTGTCCTCATCTAACCGCTGCTGAACATTACTCTCTTCACCTTTTCTGCTAGACAAGGCGAACACTCTCTGCCAAGCGTACAGCACTTCTCTTAGAAGACCAATGCTAAGAGCTAGCAATCCATCACAGAGCAACAACTGAATTATTTTGCTCAGAGTTTTTCTTTAAAGGCCAGCTAAAAACACCTTTTGAAATCTGCTTTCGATTTGGCCTTGTGAATTTTTTTTTCCAATTCTCTGTTGAAGCACTTCGGGTGCTGTATAAGCAAAGTTTTACTTACTTACTACATTGTAAATGTGCTCTCCTGAGTGTTATTTGACCTCACTGAATGCTAAGGAAGTGCTCCAGGAGCAGCAGAGAAGATGTAGATAGACATTGAATAGAGTTACACACCTACACATGTTCTCACTGCAGCGTCTGCATGCCTCTACGCAGGCTCGATTTGTAATCGTGCATGACAGAGGACACCTCAGGCCTCCTATGTGCTCTAGGCAGCCTCAGGCCTTGTTTCTGTGTGTGTGTGTGTGTGTGTGTGTGTGTGTGTGTGTGTGTGTGTGTGAACTGCATGTGTGAGGTTAAGTTTACGTCGAGTGCCCGTCTCTTTGAAGTCGCTCTTTAAAACAGACGGGCTCCCTCTGTCATTAAACAGACACAGAACTCCCCGTCCCTCCGTCACCACATGCTCCCTGATTTATTAACATATCACGTTCCCGCTATCCTTCTCCTCCATCTCCAGGCTGGGCATCTCGTAGGACCTTTCCCAGCCACCATCAACCCCTCCACTCCTCCCCACTTCCCTTTTCCTCTCTTGGTGATGTTGTCTTTCAAGAGTGGTTGCCATCACTACTTCCCTACAAGAACAATTTCCCCCTTCACATCCTTCTCCGTGTCGCTTTTCATTTTCCCCTCCTCTTCTCTAAAGGCTTAATCCGCCTTTAGAGATTGCACAACCGCGGTTTCTCACAGGCACTTGGGAAAAACTCAACAAGAAGAATTGGGGCTTCTCTTGCATCACAATTTATGTCTGAATCTAAGGAGCCTCCCTTTTGAGGATTTTATGTTTATATGATTTAAACAAATGGGGGTGAGGGGGGGATGAGGGGGGCTCTATGAAGCAAGAATTCCCACAGATTTTTAATGTAGGAATTTATTTTCACAGACTCAGTTTCCCAGAGTTCTTAGTTCTTTACAAGAATTTAAGTAAGAAAGAAAGGAACGAGGGAGGAATGGAAGAAATGAAACAAAGGAGAAAAGAGAGGAAGGACAAGAAGAAGGAAAAGACAAGAAAGAAAGGGCACAAAGAAGTGAAAAAGGAAAAATAGGAGCAAGTAAAGAAGGAAGGACAGAGGGGGAGAAAACTGAAGGATATAAGTGAAGAATGGGAAGGACAAAATAAAGGAAAAGAGGAATAAGAAGGACAA